CATAGGAACAGTAGAGAACATCTAGTAAAGTGGAGAGATACGGCTCATTTTTTTTCCCAGTGATAGAATTTGATTTATCAAATGCTGAAAATCTCTCATCAGTGTATATACAAGCGGGGAAATGGGTTTGAAAGTTGCTATATTTTAAATCAAGTTTTCCAGACACACTGTTGGTGCTACTTGTTTTGAATAAGGATGGCAAAGTCACACACTATATAGAATTGTAAACCAATGTGTCCTCCCCTGAACCTGCTTTATCTTACATAATGTATCAGTTGATAAAAGAACAGGTTGCTCCATGGGTTAGTGAAGAGGTTTTGCACAGCTTTGTTTCTCGAGGTTGGATTTTGTGGCCCAAGTTTCTGTATCCTTTTACACTGTTACTCTCTGTCTTTTGATTTCTTCTGTGTTTTTTCCCCCTTCCATTAAGGGGTAGGCTCTCTGCTTTTAATTAATGCCTTCTCAGTGAGGTGTATTAACAGGATCTACCTCTTGTCTACTCAATATCCCATTTTTGCTAAACTTGCACGGAATATATTGAGATACTTGTTCTATGAAATAAGTCTTTTGTGACAACTAATCAGTGGTTCAGTCATTACTGTGGACCGAGACATATAAATGGAAAGAAAAAAAGGCATAGAAAGCAAACTAAAGAAATCTTACTTACAGAGGCAATATTTGTCAATAATAGGGCTGGTATTATAACTTACAAGTCATAGCCATCAAACTGAACTGCTGATACTATGGTTGTCTGCATATTGAACACTATGAGATGGAGAACTGTCTCTGCAGTGGCACAAGAAGGTTCTCACTTGCAAATATAGTGGGAAGAATTGGTAATAAAGAGATGTTATTTTTTAGATGTAGTTGGTAGGCTGATATAATCCACAGTTACATGCATCATCTTTTTTTTTGGGTTTTTTTTTTTGTCTGCTGTGTTCATAAGCATGGTTAACCATCACTTTTAGGAATATACTATGTTGTGATGCCCCTCATCAGTTGATCATGCATTACCACTTCCTAAATTATTTGTAAACCGAACTATTGCTGGGAATCGACTAAAGAGACTCAATTCAGCTGCTCAGATGCAATGAGAGAATAGTGTAGGAAGCCCTTTCTTAGCTATCTCTGCGCTCTCACTTGCTGTAACCCAGGTGAGACTGAAGTGTGATGTGCTTTTCCACTCTCTGCCCATGAAATGACAGCTTAAACTCAACACCAGATGTGGCTCCCGTGAGCAGAACATCCAAGTAGTGCAGATCCACTCATCCTTTATTTTCAGCTTGAAAGTGAGGGTGCTGCTTAAACAGCTACATGCCTCAATGTACATGTTTTTAATCTTTCTTGAGGCTCTGTGCTTAGCAGGTAACCAGTCCAATGTACTCTCTGAAAAATAATGGAGCCTGATTACCTGATCGCTTGCTTGGAAGGTGCAAGGATGGTCTCAGCTGAGAAGAGGAGATGAGGGGAAAAGATCTTCGGAGAGATAGACTTTGCTGTTAGGTGAAAGATAACAAATACAGCTGGAGGCTAGTACCTGCTGCATTGCTTCCATGTTTATCCCCTTGATTTAAGGACAGCTCTTACACATTATGCTGGAGATTCACAGGGAGGCTGTAGTCTGTTCTCTTTGGTAGGTTTGTTCCTGTGTTCAGATCACCAATATAACCCCTAATGAAGTGTTCCTGAAGGTACACATTAGCCTCAGGTGAGATAAAACTCATTAAAACCAGCTGTGAAAGGTAGCAGCCCCCTGTTTCTTGTTGCCTTTTTTTTTTTTTTTTATCCCTCATCAAAGAGTTGTGCTCAATTTGCTTACTTTTGACCCAATACCTGAAGTAGGTTTGTGACCAAAGTTCAACAGTAAAGCTTGTCTCAAATGTACAGACCTGATCTCGGTTACCTGTGCGTCAGTGCGAAAGGTAAATATTTCCTCTGCTACATTTCAGAGATGGTGCAGTTAAAATGGAGAAGTAGCTTTGGGTTTTCTCATTAGAGCCAAACCAAGTTCTCTAGACTGTGGCAATCCATCTTTCCACTACCTCAGCCATATCATCTTTAAAAGGCAATTTAATGGTGCCTTATGGTGTATAGAGTTTACAAGGCTAATCTGTCCCCAGTTACATGACACAGCCTTTGATAAAGCATCTCATATTAGATCAAACTGAGTCCAGAATGTTTTATGGGCTGATTTAATATACTGGATTGAAACACATTTTTTTAAGTTACTCTAAAAACTAAAGATTTAAGCAGCTATAAATAACTAAAGGGTTAACAGTGGGCACCAGCATCTCTTTTCAAGGGTTCTGCATTTTCTGTTTTATTCTGAGATATTTGTGGCTTTGAGAGATGGAGGAGGCGTACACCCAAAACCATGAGGAGCAGATTTTACTGTTGGATGGTTTTGCAATATAAGATAATCCATTGATTTGAATAGATGTGCACTGGTTTACCTGAAGGAATTAATCTACAACCTTTTCAATGTAAAAAAAAAAAAATGCAATACCTTCCTTGGATTCTTTGTGCTAGGTCAGTTTATGGCTGGTAAATTGTTGACTTATTTAACATGAAAATGGAATCAACAATACCTATTTATTGTTGGTATAGTTGTGCTGTCACTGTTGTAAAGTTAAAAAGCAGCAATTAAAGCTGAAATCTGAAAGCTGTTTTATAATTCACATGTGCAACACATCTCTCTACTAGAGACTGTGGCCATGGCAGCAGTGGTTGCTGCACTTTGTGAATAACAGACGTGTAGGAGTTTAATAGTGATTTTTGTAAAGTACAAAGTTTTTAAAGCTCTCTTTAAAAAAAAAAAAAAAAGAAAGAAAGCATCTCTGTTTCCTGTCTTATGTGCTACTAAATAAACTAGGGATTAATAAAAAGATAATGGATGTGGATGCAGGAAAAGGCAATTGTTATTTTAAATCTCCCCTCTTCTCCCATAGTTTTCCCATCCCTTTTTTGTGCAGTCAAATCCTGGCTGAATATATGAACATGGACATGAATTGGAAACAGAACAATACAATAATTAATGAACCTACCATTTAGGAAATCTCTATTCCCTCATTACATTTATGGTCTGTAATACCTTTTTAACCCTTTTTACTTTTAAGCATCTGTGCTAGTCCCATTCTCTCACTCTCACACTCCTGTTCATCTGAATAGAGTTCTCTCAAAGAATGCCTTTTCATCCATGGATTGCTTGTTTGAACAAGATATATGAGATTAATTGATTCACAGGTTCAGTTGCTTCTGTTTATCTGAATTCAGACGAGTGTCAAAATCTTTCCAAATCACAATATTAAATATGTTTACTTATAGAAATGGCAAATAGTAGGTTGCTATTTTTATAATATGGCAAATAGTAGGCTGCTATTTTTATTTTTTTTTCTGTCTTAGCTGTTGAGAAAAGCAGAACTAAACACCAAATGCTTATGAGGCTTCAACTGAATACCATATATTCATGTAATTTACATACTTGTAAAACCACAAAGAACTCTGCATAAACAGTCTTTAATATCAGCAGCTAGGAAATAAACTGAAAATTATATATATATACACACACGGGAAACAATGAAGGGTCTAAAATATAGGAGAAGGATAATGGAACTAAGAACCAGAGGTGTAATAACAAGTCCTCGGGTTCCTGTGGAATCAGAGTTGTGTAGTTCAGAAACACCACATACCTGCAGTCATTGCTCAGAGCACTTGGAGCCATTTGCAAAGTCATGCAGAGTATGACAGAGCATGCAGAGCATGACAAAGTAGAGCAGCATAGTGAATAGTAAGATAATCCTTAAATTAAATCCGAATTACTTCTGTCTGGGAAATTAATATAGCTTTGTATCACTGTAGTAGTCTTCAGTCAATTCCAAATATGCAGAGTATTACACGGAAAGGTCATCTCGTTTCATGGGAGTATTTGCCACATTACAGTTTGATTTCATATGATTTGGAATAAAATCCCGTTATTTTTCTGTTCTCTATGAAAGGGAAAACCTGAGGTTTTTCAGTCAAAAAGGCTGCTACAAGTTATGGTACTTGAATGCTTTTGTCCTTGACTTTGGGGAAGTTTGCCTGATTTGCTGCCCCAGATCTATAGATTTTTGGAAAGGCTAATTAGAAGTTCCAATTCAAGCTTCGATGTTCTAATGAGACAGAATAAAGATGTTTGTCTGACAGGAGGCAAACTCCAAGGTTGTATAAGATAGACTGGGTTTTTTAATTTTATTTTATTTTTTTTTAATGATCTGTAAACTCCTTGTGTTTTCTGTCTTAAGTGAAGACTGTGTCCAGAAATCCTGTGCCAGTGTATGCGAACATCCAGCATGTGCTATGCACATGTCCTTGAGGAGGTAAACTAAGTAAAAGTGTCTTACATATATGGAATATCAACTCAAGATGTTTTAGTGAGATTAGTTTCAAAACTGAGGCATTTTCAAGGTGGTATTTATATATCACATGAAAATCTGTTAGGGCTGTAAGCCGAGCAAGTGTCCAGTGAGCAGGGAGAAAAGTGACTCCAGTCATATCTCTTTGTGTATGTGACTGCATCATGACCAGTACATCCTCTGAAGGAAATCTCCAACATACCACCCTTCTCTGCCAAAATAAGAGGTGAAAATGCAGCAGTTTCAAATCTCAGATGCAACTGTAGTCAGTCTTAGCACTGTGTTTCCTCTGGATGCTACATACCATGAAAAAGTAAGATTTATTTTTTTTTTTGTCATTAGGCTTTGAAAGAAGCTCTTGGCAAGAGTTGGGAAACATGACTTCAAATAGTTTTCGGGGGGGTTGATTTTGTCTTTTCATAGCTGCTGGTTCTATGCTACAAATGCTGTGGCACTGCACCTGTCTTTAATTTGTTTGTACAGAGCATTATGTGGTGAGAGCTTGATGCATGATAAAGCCTCTATCTCAACATTAATTAAAATAAATCATAATGTGTTCTGGCACTGCTGTTGTTAATAGTCACCTGTGTTGGTTTGCTCCCCCAGCTTTCCTTGCTGGAAGATGCAGGCTTTGGTGGTGTTCTTCTTTACGCTGACCCTTGTGACTTACCAAAGACCACAGATCTTGCTGATAAAGCTTTTATGGTTTCCTTGAACAGCGGAGGAGATCCATCAACACCTGGCTATGCCAGTATTGGTAAGTACTGTTCAAGGCATATTCAGTTAATGGACATTTTCGTTCTCTGTAGATTTTAAGTATGGGAGTTAAAACACTAAGCCAAATCCTGCCTGAAATAGAAGCTCTGAGTAAGAGAGCGTGTAATGCAGCGTGGCTTAGAGGATGGAATCCAGTCTCAAAAGTGCTTTGAGCTCTTGGCACAAAGTCTGCACTCTAAATAATATATTTTATTGCTTTTTGTATTTGAGTATTCACACACTGAACCATTATTACTGACTGCTTATTCTTATCCCATGAAAAAAAAAGGCTGTGAAGTCCTGATCCAGTGGTTTCTGAGCAGGTTTCATGGGATCTGTCCCCACCAAAAGATATATTCCCTTCATTCTGTCTTCCACTTTTATGGTATTGTTAATGGAAACTCCTGGTCAATAGGTGCAAGCACAGTGTGAACAGACATTTGTATTTGAAAAGTTTTGAGTAAGAAGAATAATGTTTATAGTATCTATGTGCAATTATCACTTGAATAGGATGTGTTCATTTAGCCTTGCCTCAGTTCTGCCTGGATAGGCTTGGTTATCAATTATGCTTCTCTAGGTACGTGTATTTTCAAAGGATGGGAAATAGAGAATTGATTTCAAGGAATGACATAGTCTTACATAACTTTATTGGTTGTTTTGTTGTTTATTTTCTTTCAAGCAATGCTAACAATGAATAGAAGCAGCAGCATATTTGACTTGCATGTACTACTTAAATCTCCAATCTGGCAGTTCAGTGAATGTGTGTTCTGCTCCTCTGCAGCATTTTCAGCTTTTACAGTTTTTTTACTATCTAACTATTTGGAAATGTATTAAACAGCAGTCTATGAGTTTGTGACAAGGCTTCATCAGGAATATTTTGTCCGGTTACTAGCTCAGACATCTAAAGTCTAACTTGAATTGGCACTAAATCAACTGAGGCAATGCTGAGATACTTCATGACTAGAATGGCAGAAAATAGAAATATTTGCCTGGTTGTCAAAGAGGGGTGTTAGCTGTTCACAGCATGAATGCCTTGACAGCTCAGTGGGAAAGAAATTGCACATTTTCTCAATGTCTCAGTGTACCTGACCCAGTGTTCTCAAAAGTGCCCTGGGAGCTACAGAGGTAAATATAACACTCTTCAAGCTTTATTCTTGCTCATTTCATGGAGCTATTTGAACAACAGTTTGTCGTGTATCTGTCTGGCTGACTCCTTAATGTTTTATTTACCCTACATGAAAAGTAAAGCTAATTAAAACAGATATACTAACATGAAGATGCCACTTCAGTGTCTAAACCTTATGTGTCGGTTTTCTGTCAGTAAAAGATCTCATTGGCAGTGTGCATTCCAATCTCCAGTTTGGGGAAAAGAAGCTTAATTATGTGGAGAATGGTGTTGTATGTACATCGATGGTGAAGTAGAAGCCTTAAGCATGGCTTGTCTGTGGTTTTAAGTCTTTGAGCAATGTTCATAAGCAGGAGGAGAACACGTTCTAAAATCGTTTATATTTTGATCATTGAATGCAGTGATGAGCTGGAAAGAGCTCAAAGGAATATTTGAGGAAACTCTTTTTTATGGCTCTGTCACTGGAAGGTAGATCAGATGGAAATAATTTCCATGTTTCTGATGATGGTTTTTCTTCTCTGGAGACTCTGAACCAACTTGGTTAGAGATAGCTTATGCCTGGGACAAACACAAACACATCTGGAGCCCAGCCTTTTCCCTGAGGGATGCACTTGCATACACTGTAGTTAAACTGCCTAAGTGTGCAATAAAAGAGCCAAAGAGCCCGGGTTGCCCCTTTCACTTTGATTCACTGAGTATAATATACACGACAAGAGATTTTATTGGAAACTCCTGCTTAAGTTATTGGCATATCTTTGACACCATCTGCACTTCACACTTTGCCAGCAGAACTGTTACTATCACAATCTCCGGGACTGCTCCTACCACCATTCTCTCTTTTTACTGGGAAATTCCTTGTAAAATGAGTGATCCAAAGCTGTATTCACTGTATTCAGTGAATAAAAGGTAGAAAACCTGTATTTTCATGCTACTGCCTATGTTTTTCACATTCTGAAAACAAATTTCTCTGTGTTATCAGAGCACTGGAATGCTTCAGTTTTTTCCTAGAAAAAAAGTCTTCAGGAAATTATATAATTTACAGATCTTTTCTTAAAGTTGGCAGCATTTTAAAATGGGATTTATTTAATAATTCAGAGAAAATTTTGAAGTTCTCATGAGATTTCAGCTCAAATTTTCTGTTTCATGAAGATTAAATGCTACACTACTGCATATGAATTATTTTGAATGTATAGAAATAGCTTGAGGATGAGTTTGAGATGCCAACTACCTATGAGCGGGATGATTTTATTGATCTCTGTTTAACAAAGGGAAAAAAGTGATGATGACAAGGGGAAGTGAACAGCACTTATATAAAAGTTTCTCCAGCTCTGTTTTATAATTTAATTCTTCTGTTCTTAAGACTCTTCCATTCCTGTGTCATCTCAGTCCTGAAACAATTGTATGAGCCTTTGTGAGCATCAGTTCTGTTTTCATGATTCTGATTGCCAAAGACTAGTGTCCCTCATTTTTAGAAATCTTTCTTCTGTGTTCCTGCTTTTGAAATTAAATAGATCCAGGGGGTGAAACTCAAGGAATTAAACACATGGGATTAAGAAACCTGAGATAAGAGGCATACATGGCAAAAAATTATCCCACAAATAAAGTTTAGAAGAACAGTGTAAAACTTGAGTGACTTCCCCATCTACTTTTCTTTTTCCATTTTGTCTTTTTGACTGCTGCACTCCTTTCACCCACCTTTGTATGGCAGACACATATTAGATTTCTCCATCACTAGATTTCAGAGCTGTTTTAAATCAAATTTGTTTCTGCACAAGAAATGGCTCAGTAAACAAAAATATGGATAGAATCTATTTGTCAGTCCTGGTATGTAAATAGAAAAGTGGCATTGTGATAAGCATTAAGAACCCTGCCCATGAGATAAGGTACCTCGTAATAAAATCCCTATCTGTGCAGTGGGGGAATGGAAAATATTTCATGAAGAATTCAGACAGCATCATAGAAAATACTGTGAGCTTAAAACTGCTGAAATATAACAGCTGTAAAATACAATCTTACGGTATCAGCTGGAGTTTCAAGTGTAATGTTATTTTAGAGAATTGTTATGCAGAGGTTATGCAGTATGAAAAAAGGGTATGTTTTGAAATAGTCCCTGCTTTGAGTCATTGTAACAGCTTGTCATGTGAGCCATATTACAGGAATTTGGGTGAAAAAATCAGTAACACAGGGAAAACGCTTGGTTCCCTATAATTGTGACTAGTGAACATTATTTAGACAGAGGAATTGACACAAGCATTCCTCAAACATTGCTAATAAGGTTTGATTTCATAGGAAGGGAAAAGGAAAGCAAGGAATTTTTGAAGTGTTGATCCACTACAGGCCACAGCTGAGGCCATCAGCGAAGTCAGTGATGCCTCTGAAAACATATTTGAGAGAGGACAAGAATGATGAACAGGAAGGGAAGTGAAACTGAGCCTGGAAAAGGGCAGTGCAGAGATGCTATTCTTGTTTTTTTGGTTTTGTTTCTCACTATCCAATATGTTTTAATTGGCAATTGCTGACACTCAGCATTGATGATAATTGATAAGTGATCTCTCTGTATTTACTGTGATCAGTGATTTTTTCCATCTCATTTCCCCCCCTGTCCTGTTGGGTAGAGGGAATGAAAGTACAGCTGGGTAGGTGTCTGGAACCTGGCCAAGGTTTACCCACCACACTCTGTTCAACCAAAGTTAAACACCAAATATGTATCCTAAAAAACCCATGTCATTTACCTCTAGTCTTGTGTCATTCTTAAATGGAGCTTAGCCAGTTCTTCCACAGCAAACACAGGGAACTACTACCACTGCTTGGGGTGTGGGTAAGGAGGTATGTGCTGTGATGGAAATATGTACCTACTTTATTTTTAGTCAGCCCTGTGATTCTGTATGCTTAGATGTGTCCTGCCTAATAATATGAGTTTGTCCTTACTGTCCTTTACTTCATGATATTTTACTCCTCTGAAATAACAAGCTGAGCAGAAGTGAGCTGGAAAATAGCACGTTGTGTCGTGGTTTTAACCATGCATATGCAACATATGTTCTAAAATGTTTTGTTATAAATCATCATGACTTTTTACAAGATGTCCTCAGCCCTGGTTTGTCTGTTCTTTTAAAGAACAAAACAGAGTGACAAGAATATATTTTCTGTGCTTGCCTTTGCAGCTGTGGAAATGATTCTGGGAATATATATATATTTTTTTTTCAAAATGCATGTTTATTTTCAGCTAATAACATCAGATAAATGCATTGTGAAGATAATTTGATGTAAAGTGAGTGTCTACATTCAGGTGTCTAGATATTGCTCTTTTATTTTCCTTAAGGACAGACTGAAACTGGCGAAAAAGAAAAGCTGAAGTTCCATATTATAATTTAGGTGTGAGTATATATAGGTTTACACGTACTCTTGATCATTTTATTTTGTACTTATGACATAATTTTAGTGGTTGCCATAAAAAAATCACACACTTTATCATACCAACTACAGTGCTCTGTCTGATATACTGTGGTTTTTTTCTGGATGAAGAAAAATCTGTGCTAATGCAATAGAGAGGTAAATCTTTGGAAAATGCTGGCTTTTGAGTAGTGAGCACAGTAAGTAATAATTTCAGCAGATTTTCTATAATACATGTAGCACTAATAGTTCAAAAGGTGTCTGAATCCATGATCTGCCTCTTCAGATTTTGCAGGATATAATAAAGCAACTAAATTTCTATGTAAGTTCCAAATTATGTACTGTGAGGTTTTTCTGGATTTATGGTTTTTAGTTTTTCCTGCTGTCTGGCTTTCAGTTGGTGTTACAAGTATTTTAAACTGAGAGAGTTAGTTGGACATCAAGATAATTTAGGCTCACAGGTTTGAATGAGTGAACCTCTGTAT